AAAGGGAAAAAGCACATAACAAACTGTAAAGCTATATTTGATAGGGACAACTAGTTTTATTCCTGGGATGTGAAAGAGAAATATTTCATTTCAGATCTCATTTGGCTGATGCTCCAGATAGCAGTGACCATCCCCATTGACTCTTATAATGTTTAATTATCTTTTTTTTTTTTTTTTAGTTGGAGTCTCACTCTTGTTGCCCAGGCTAGAGTGCAGTGGCACACTCATGGCCACTGCAGCCTCGACCTGCTGGACTTAGGCGATCCTTCCACCTCAGCCTTCCAAGTAGCTGGAACTACAGATATACACCACCACTCCTAGCTAGTTTTTGTGATTTGTTGTAGAGACAAGGTCTCGCCAAGTTGCCCAGGTTGGTCCTGAACCCCCGGACTCAGGCAATCCTCTCGCCTCAGCCTCCCGAAGTGCTGGGATTACAGGCTGAGCCACCATGCCCAGCCTTCTTTTTTTTTTTTTTTGAATCAGAGTCTCACTCCGTTGCCCAGGCTGGAGTGCAGTGGCATGCTCACGGCCACTGCAGCTTCGACCTGCTGGGCTCAGGCAATCTTTTTGCCTCAGTCTTCCAAGTAGCTGGAACTACAGGTATGCACCATCAAGCCCAGCTAATTTTTTGACTTATTGTAAAGACGAGGTCTTGCCAAGGTGCCCACGCTTGTCTTGAACCCCTGGACTCCGGCAATCCTCTTGCCTCCCTCACAGGTGTGAGCCACCATGCACCCAGCAACAACTTATTTTTATTTTTATTTTTTTTCTGAGTTGGAGTCTCACTCTGTTGCCCAGATTAGAGTGCAGTGGCCGCTCTCGGCCACCGCAGCCTCGACCTGCTGGGCTCCGGTGATCCTTTCACCTCACACTTCCAAGGAGCTGGAATTACAGGCATGCGCTACCACACCCGGCTGATTTTTTTGATTTATTGTAGAGATGAGGTCTCGCTGCCTAGGCGGGTCTCGAACCCGCGGGCTCAGGCAATCCACTCACCTCAGCCTCCCAAAAGCGCAGGATTACAGGCTGAGCCACCGAGCCCGGCTCACAACTTTCTTAAATATGCTCAAAGAGCTAAAGAATAATACAGATAGCTAAAGGAAATAAGCAAAACAACATATGAACAAAATGATAATATCAACAAAGAGAAATTAATTTTTTTTTAAAAGACCAATCCCGCATGATCGGTGGCTCAGCCTGTAATCCTGCGCTTTGGGAGGCTGAGGTGAGTGGATTGCCTCTGAGCCCGCGGGTTGGAGACCCACCTGGGCAACTTGGCGAGACCTCTTCTCTACAATAAATCAAAAAATTAGCCAGGTGTGGTAGTGCGTGCCTGTAGTTCCAGCTACTTGGAAGGCTGAGGTGGCAGGATCACAGAAGCCCAGCAGGTCGAGGCTGCAGTGGCTGGGAGCGGCCACTACACTCCAGTCTGGGCAACAGAGTGAGACTCCAACTAAAAAAAACAAAAAACAACACAAGACATTTCTAGATTCTGTAGGAGTTTATCACTAGACCTAACCTATAAAAAATGCTAAAGGGAGTCCTCCAAGTAGAAATCAGATGGCACTAGAGAGTAACTCAGAGCCATATGAAAATAAAAAGCTCGGCATTGCTTTGTTAAACTCTGGTGTGTCCACTTGGCTCTTGGAGCTATGGCCACCATGTTGCCTGGCTTTGGCCCCCACTCTGCCTTGGGTAGGTGAATCTTTTCTCTCTCTCTCTCTAATTTACTTTCTAAATAAACTATTTTTTTTCCAATAAAAAAAGAAAGAAAATAGAAAGCTCTACAGTGAAGATGAATACCCAGACAAATATGAAAACCAGTATTACTGTTGATTTTGGTTTGTAACTGACCTTATGGGTTGATAAGCACATCAATGTGCTAGGAGGGGGTGTGCTCAAGGAGGGCATGGAAGCCTGTGTCCCTCCCACCCTTCCATAGCTTGCTCCATGGGTCTTCTCCATTTGACTGTTTTTGAGTTTCATTTTTTAAAATATTTTTTTGAGTCAAGTCTCACTCTGTCCCAAGGCTGGAGTACAGTGGCATGATCACAGTTACTGCAGCCTTAACCTGCTAGGCTCAGGTGATCCTTCTGCCTCAACCTTCCAAGTAGCTGGAACTACAGGCTAATTTTTTGATTTATTATAGACATGAGGTCTTGCCATGTTGCCCAGGCTGGGACTTCACCCTCCCAGCACTTTGGGAGGCGGAGACAAGAGAATTGCCTAAGCTCAGGGGTTCAAGACCAGCCTGAGCAACATGGAGAGACCTTGTCTCTACAATAAATAGAAAAATTAGTTGAGTGTGGTGGTGCACGCCAGTGGTTCCAGCTACTTGGAAGACTGAGGCAGTAAGATTGCCTGAACCCAGCAGGTCAAGGCTGCGGAGGCTGTGAGCATGCCACTGCGCTCCAGTCTGGGCGACAGAGTGGGACTCTGACTCAAACAAAACAAAACAAACAAACAAATCTAAGATGATGTAGTAAAGCACCTAGAACAGTACACATAACATTAAAAATGTTCAATAAATATTAGCTATAAGTTTAATAATTGAAAGGAGGTACCTATAGAAACCTAGAAGAAACTTAGCTTATTCTTAGTTTAGTCTTTTTGCCTCAGCATAACCATTAGAAAGCGTTTAGACATTCTACTGCAAGCCAAGCGGCACCCTATCTCTATCAGATGCAAGACCAGAACAGCCCAACCTTCCAATTCATGATTTAGCATAATAATCTATAGTAAACTTTCAGGTTCCTTGTCAAGGTCAAAGATCATCCTTTGGCTGGCCAAAGCCATAGAAATAATAAGACCACCTTTGGTCAAGGAGTTTGGGGACTTGTCTAACAAGTCTCTTGGGGGGGATCCCTTCCAGGCCCAAACCCCGAGTTAACCTAATCAGCCCTTTGTGACCTATGTGACACAGACAGACCCCACCATGGCAGCCATCATGTGACTGACCCACTCATCTGCCTGCTATCACCTGACATCAGTGCCTGCGCTTACCTGCCCCTTCGTGATGATGTGGAGAAGACTACCACCCAATCACCTTAATGATCTTCCCGCATCAAGGGGAATGGTTAAAGGACTCAACCACAAGCAGCCATTGGTCATTGCCTTGCTAGACTCTGGTGTTGCCATGTGTTCTTTGAGCTATGGCTGTCGCCATGCTTCCTGGCTTTGACCCCCTCCCCTGCCTTGAGAAGGTGAATCTTCTCTCTCTCTCTCTCTCTTTAATTTACTTTTAAATAAAGTATATTTTCTAATCTAATTTCTTTGCAATTCTTTGCACCTTTCATGAGGCATTGGATCACATCCCTGACACCCACATCCCCAGTGGGCCTGACCTAACATGCTGGAGGCCCCCTGCAGGGAGAGTGTGACCCTAACAACAGTTATTATTAATAATATTATTAATATTATTAATATTATTACTAATTATTAATAAAGAAAGTTTTGTGCCAGGCCTACCTGGTGCTAAACCCAAATCATAGATAATATTTAGGTACATATTCCTGTCTGTTTCTTCAGTCACAGGAAACAGATTTTCTTTGTTAAATAAAACACAGGGTAAGCCGGGCTCGGTGGCTCAGCCTGTAATTCTGCGCTTTGGGAGGCTGAGGTGAGTGGATTGCCTGAGCCCGAAGGTTCGAGACCCCCCTGGGCAACTTGGCGAGACTTCATCTCTACAATAAATCAAAAAATTAGCTGGGTGTGGTAGCGCGCGTCTGTAGTTCCAGCTACTTGGAAGGCTGAGGCGGAAGGATCACTGGAGCCCAGCAGGTCGAGGCAGCAGTGGCTGGGAGTGTGCCACTGCACTCCAGTCCGGGCGACTGAGTGAGACTCTGACTCAAAAAACAACAACAAACAAACAAACAAACAAACACAGGGTAGCCAGTGAAAGGATAGACCAAGATAAGAAGCCATCTTTTGTTCCTAGATCCTAACACAATGATGAGAAAGTAAAAACTGTGCCCTGGAGGAATACATTCTTTAGGTAAAGATTAACTTTGCTGACTTTGTCTTTCCAGAAACACAGACCCTTCAAGCATGACAGGTATGGCCTATTATAATCTGAAAATGAACTCCTGGGGGTGGTGAGAGCCCGTGTCTCAGTGCCTGGTGACCTGGCACCCTTCAGGGTTTCCAAGACATTGGCAAGTGGTCAACAAGTGAGTCACGGCAGTGAGCAGTTACATCTACCTGACTGCAACATCTTCAGGAGAAAGGATTTAAGCCGGGGTCTCAGGGCTACGGTGCCACACTCATCTTAGAGTGCTGGACCTCTTCCTGTTTGTGGAAAGTGAACTTTTTTTTTTTTTTTTGAGTTGGAGTGTCACTCCGTCGCCCAGACTGGAGTGCAGTGGCCACTTCCGGCCACCGCAGCCTCGACCTGCTGGGCTCTAGCGATCCTTCCGCCTCAGCCTTCCAAGTAGCCGGAATTACAGGCATGTGCTACCACGCCCGGCTGATTTTTTTATTTATTGTAGAGATGAGGTCTTGCTGCCCAGGCGGGTCTCGAACCCGCGGGCTCAGGCAGTCCACTCACCTCAGCCTCCCAAAGACACGGGATTACAGGCTGAGCCACCGAGCCTGGCTGAAAGTTAACTTTTTAAAAAATAAATCTTTTCTTCCTTCATCTCTTTGTGTGTTGCAAATCTGTGCATTACTCGGATCTCTGGTTACCAGCGCACACCTCCTTCATTACCGCTCCTGTGGTGCTGAGCTCCTCCTCAACACCCTAACATTTACCCTAACAGCCGGGTGTGGTGGTGCGTGCCTGTAGTTCCAGCCACTTGGAAGGCTGAGGTGGAAGGATCGCCTGAGTCTAGCAGATCAAGGCTGCGGTGACCATGAGTGTTCCACTGCACTCCAGCCTGGGCAACAGAGTAAGACTCCAATTCAAAAAAAACAAACAAAAAAACACAGGGGAAGCTCGGTCTGGCATTTAGGGTCCATTTCCATTGGTTCTTACAGCTGCTTCCCAGACCCTAACAGCCAAAATGGTGAAACAGATCAATAACAAGTCTTCTTTTCAGGATGCCTTGGAAGCTGCAGGTGATAAACTTGTCATAGTCGACTTCTCAGCCATGTGGTGTGGGCCTTGCAAAATGATCAAGCCATTCTTTCATTCCCTCTCTGAAAAATATTCCAGTATGGTGTTCCCTGAAGTAGATGTGGATGAATGTCAAGATGTTGCTTCAGAGTGTGCAGTCAAACGTATGCCAACCTTCCATTTTTTAAAAAAGGGACAAAAGGGCCGGGCTCGGTGGCTCGGCCTGTAATCCCGCGCCTTTGGGAGGCTGAGGTGAGTGGATTGCCTGAGCCCGCGGGTTCGAGACCCGCCTGGGCAGCGAGACCTCATCTTTACAATAAATCAAAAAATCAGCCGGGTGTGGTAGCACATGCCTGTAATTCCAGCTACCTGGAAGGCTGAGGCGGAAGGATCGCCGGAGCCCAGCAGGTCGAGGCTGCGGTGGCCGGGAGTGGCCACTGCACTCCAGTCTGGGTGACAGAGTGAGACTTCAACTCAAAAAAAAAAAAAAAGGGACAAAAGCTGAGTGAATTTCCTGGAGCTAATAAGGACAAGCTTGAAGTGACCATTAATTAATTATTCTAATCATGTTTTCTGAAAACATAACCAGTCACTGGCTATTTAAAACTTTTCTTTTTTGAGCTGGAGTCTCACTCTGTAGCCTAGGCTGGAGTGCACTGACATGCTTACGACCACTGCAGCCTTGATCTGCTGGGTTCAGGCGATCCTTTCGCCTCAGCCTTCCAAGTAGCTGGAACTACAGGTGCATTCTACCAAGTCTGGTTAATTTTTTGATTTATTGTAGAGATGAGGTCTTGCCAAGTTGTCCAGGCTGGTCTTGAACTTCAGGGCTCAGGCAGTCCTCTTGCCTTGGCCTCCCAAAGTGCTGGAATTATAGGCTTGAGCCACCACACCTGGCCCCTTGGAGTTTTTTAAATTTACCAAATGTATGAAGTATGGCGACTAGGTAACCAACTGCCATCTGATTATAAATGACAATGAAATATTATTTCTGCCTTTTAAAAAAAACCAGAGGGCTCTGAAGAATGAGTAAGAACTAGAATTTAAAAATACAGGCATAAATAAGAACTGTGAAGCATAAGGCTTATGGTATTGCACACTTTTTTTTTATCCTAAGCTATTAGGTCCCAAAACTATTTTGTGTGTTTCTTTAGATGAAAGATTCTATGGCTTTATAAAAATATCTGGGAAAACTTGATAAGTAAACTATCTAGAAATGTTGATTTGAGTCATAGCTTAATATTTTGTCTGTGTTTTAGGGGACTCAATAGCTGGAGTCATGGAGTTTGCTGCTAAGAATTCTCTCTTAGTCCCTTGGGCTGCTTCTGAAATCAAATGTCCTCCATGGCATAAGTTGAAGGTAAAGAGTCCTCAGGTCCCTGCAAGACCAAGAAACAAGAAATCAAGGAATGCAAAACAGGAAACACACACTGAATGAAAGATCGATTTACTCATTAAGCTTGTTTTTAATTTCCTCATTGTTCTTTCTCCATCGCAATCTACTTCCTTTCTTCATTCTCTCATGCCACCTGGATTTAGTTGACTGAGCAGCTAAGATGGAAAATGTGCCTGCCTCTGCTTTGAACTGTTATCAGTGCAATACTGAACTGTAAATACCACTTTTGTAAAATGTTTTATTCTGTTTCAATCTCCAGAAATTTTACAAATGTTGGACATGCCAGTTGTGTTGTGTACAGCTTAGCTAAGTATCACAAGCTTATCTTTAACCCACATTGCACATCATGTTGAAAGCTTACTAACACATGTGTCTTGGCTATTAGCTCACCTCAACTAAAATTTGCTTGTTAGAGAAGCAAAGATTTGCTTTGAAGGGATTCAGAGCAGGTGGTATCTTGGTGAAATTTCCCTAACCTTCCCCCAAAAACTTGAGCCTGACTTTAAAAATAAAATGAGGGGTGTGGTGACTCATGCCTGTACTTTGGGAGACCGGGGTGGGAGGATTGCTTAAGTCCAGGAATTCAAGACCAGCCTGAGCAACATAGCAAGCCCTCGACTCCACAAAATACATGTATATATATAAAAAAATTAGCAGGGCATGGTGGCACATGCCTGCAGTCTCAGCTACTCAAGGCTGAGGCAGAAGGATCACCTGAACCCAGAAGGTCGAGGTTACAGTGAGCTATGATCCTGCCATTGCACTCCACTCTGAGCCACAAAGTGAGACCCTGAGTCCAAAAAAAAAAGAGGGACTCCCATTTAGAAAGAAAAACATGAGTGGCAATGATGGGAGTTAACTAATATGCGGGATGAGGTGGGGATAGAGAAAGAGAAAGGGAGAGAAAGAGCAATCCTAAGCAAATACCTCCCAGCACCTCAGAAAGGGCTCAGCAGCCATCTTTGAAACAAGGTCATAAACACTCTTAAGATTTACATTGTTTCCCTTTTTAAATTATCTGGCATTATGCAGGATGTCCTTGTTCATTTTTTAGTGTGGTAAAATATCATAAAATCGACCATTTTAAGGCATACAGTTTATTGGTATTAAATACATTCACATTGTTGTGCAACCATCACCAACATTCATCTCTAAAACTTTGTCATTGTCCCAAACTGAAACTACGTACCTACTAAACAATAATTCCCCATCCCTCCTCCCTTAACCATTGATAAACGCCATTCTAATTTCTGTCTCAGTGAATTTTCCTATTCTAGGTACCTTATATAAGTGGAATCATATATTTGTCCTTTTGTCCAGCTTATTTCACGTAACAGTGCCTTTAAGTTTCATCTATGTACCATGTGCCAGAGTTTCCTTCCTTTTTAAGGATGATTAATATTCCATTATATGTAGATACCACATTTTGTTTATCCATGCATCTTTCTTTTTTTTTTGAGTTGGAATCTCACTCTGTCACCCAGACTGGACTGCAGTGGCCGCTCCTGGCCACTGCAGCCTTGACCTGCTGGGCTCCGGCGATCCTTCCGCCTCGGCCTTCCAAGTAACTGGAACTACAGGCAGACGCTACCACGCCCGGCTAATTTTTTGGATTTATTCTAGAGATGAGGGCTCGCCAAGTTGCCCAGGCAGGTCTTGAATCCACGGGCTCCTGCAATCCGCTCATCTCAGCCTTCAAAGCGTGGGATTACAGGCTGAGCTGCTGAGGACGGCTCATTCATGTTTCAATGGACATTTGAGTCGTTTCCACCTTTTGACTATTGTGGTAATTCTGTGATGAACATTGATATAAAAATATCTGTTCTAGCCGGGCATGATAGCGCACGCCTGTAGTTCCAGCTACTTGGAAGGCTGGGGCAGAAGGATCAACTGAACCCAGCAGGTCGAGGCTGCGGTGGCAGTGTGTGCCACTGCACTCCAGCCTGGGTGACAGTTTGACTCCAGCTAAAAAAAAAAAAAAACCAAAATAAAAAAAACCTGTTCAAGTCCTGGCTTTCAATTCTTTTGTGATATGTCCAGAAATGGAATTGCTAGATCATATGGTAATTCTATATTTTTTTAAAATTTATTTTTATTTATTATTTTGAAAATCATTTCTTAAAACTTTTAAAATACATTAAACAAAAAGAAAATTAGTCACTGATAATCCCACCACCCACTGACAGGTGAGGAAACTGAGGCTTAGTGAATAGAAGCTGTAGCTCTGACTTAGGCGTCACTTGGGTTGGGAGGGGAGGCTGTAACGTGTTCAAGCTTCAGAAGAGCAAGTAACTCAGAAATCAGACAGAAATACAGGTGGTTCTGCAGAAGAGTATGCTAAGGCTGCAAAGGGGAGGTGGCACTGGCTCAAAGTCACACATGAGATTAACAAATTTGGAACCAGAATTCAGATCTCTCTGATCTGAATTTTTCTTTTCTCAACACCCCCTACACCTGGTCCTGCAGCTGTAGTTCTCAAACTTTAGTGCCTATCAGAATCCTAATGAGAGGAAAATTCCGGGCCAACCTACCCCTGGAATTTCAGAACTAGTAAGTCTGGGACAAGACTCTGGAATCTGCATTTTATTAAAGATGCGGGTAACCCTTGGACACTTTAGAATCACCACCATAGACTATGAGTCAAGGCATTTGATTACTGAGGGCACTCAAAAAAAAATTTTTTTTTTTTTGAGAAAGGGTCTCACTCAGTCACCCAGGTTGGAATACAGTGGCAGGATCACTGTAGCCTTGAATTCCTGGGTTCAAGCGATCCTTCTGCCTCAGTCTTCTGTGTAGCTAGAACTACAGGCATGCAACTGCCACTCCTGGCTAATTAAAAAAAATTTTTTTTTGGTAAAGATGAAGTCCTGTTTTATTGCCCAGGTTGGTCTTGAACTCCTGGTCTCAAGTAATCCTTCCACCTCTGCCTCCCAAAGATGCTGGGTCATGGCACTAATTTCTTTTCTTTTCTTCTTCTTCTTCTTTTTTTTTTTTGAGTCGGTCTCATTCTGTCACTCAGGCTGGAATGCAGTGGCATGCTCACAACCACCGCAGCCTCAACCTGCTGGGTTCAGGTGATCCTTCTGCCTCAGGCTTCCAAGGAGCTGGAACCACATGTGCATGCCATCATGCCTAGCTAATTTTTGATTTACTGTAGAGATGTGGTCTCTACAACCAAGTTGCCCAGGCTAGTGAGACTCCAACTCAAAAAAAAAAAAAAAAAAAGAGTAACTCACAGCATTAGGTTCCAAGTTTTGGCTTTTACAAGGTCACCTCACTGAAGCTTCTTGCAGCCCCATGAAGTGGGTGTCAGCAGCTCCACTCTACACTGGGCTTTACAAGGGCTAATAGCGCCAAGTCAGAGAAGCTGTAAGTGACCTATGAAACTGTGTATGCTCAGACCCAGAGCTCCTGCTGCCTGCTCCTTCTGCACTGCTGTGTTCGTTAAGTGCTTCCTGCCTCAACTTTCACAAACCTACTTACTGTGAGTGTGTGTGTTGCAGTGTGGGAGCTCTGAGCTGTTTTTCTGCCTGAAAACACCTAGACTCACAGAATTTCCAAGAAGGGAAGGGGCTTTAGAGGTCACTTAATCCTATTTATTTTGCACACAAAGAATCAGGGGAGTCTGAGAGGGGGAGGTGACACCCACCCATCCTCTGTGTAGATTTTGGTGTCTACTCTTTGCACCCTCCTACACCACCTCCTAGTTTTGTCCTGCTCTTGCTGTGGGTGAGTCAGGAAGCTTTTTGCCTGGAGACGCCTTTGCCAAAAATAATAGCTACCTTGCCGAGCATTCCTCCGTCAACAAATATTTACTGAGTGTCTACTATGTGCTGCCTTGAACAAGGCAGACACTGCCGCTGTCCTTCTGGAGCTTACATGGTAAATGGGGAGAGGTATTCAAACAAAATAATTTCAGATGTTAGGAAGGAAATAAAACGGAAGTGATAGAGGTCGGGGAGGGCTTCAGATGGATGGGGCAAGGCTTTTCCTGACCCCCTGGTATGGGTCCTTTAGTTCTCACAACAACCGTTAGAGGTTGAGGGCAAATGCCAGTTTTGCTGATGAGGAATTGATGCTCAGAAGGGGTCAGCGTGGCATGGTTAAGTCCCAGCCTCCTGGCCCCCCACGTCCCGCCAGCCTCGTGGGGCGGCCGCGAGCACGCCTGGCCCTGGATGATGAAACTCGGGGCGGACGGCACCACCTGGCAACCCGCGTCCTTGCAGGTGTCGGGTCGAGGGAGAAGGGAGGCAGATGCGCCTCGGGAGAGCTGCGGCCAGTGTCCCCACCTTCTCAGACCGTGCAGCGGACGGCCCTCTCCAGCGCCCTGCCCGACGCCCACCGGC